CTGATGAGCAGCGGGACGAGGTGAGGCTCCCCTGCCCTGCTCCTGATGTGGGGACACGGGAGGGACGTGGGGGCACACCCGGACCCTCCCAACCCCCGGTGGCCCGCAGGTGAAGACGGACGAGCGGATCGTGCAGACGGAGCAGGGGCTGCTGTTCCGCAGGCTGCACCGGCACGACGCCGGCACCTACTACTGCAAAACGCTGGAGCACGGCTTCACCCAGACCGTGGCCAAGACCGCCCTGAGGGTCATCCCCAGCCAGCAGCTGGCTCACTCCTTCCCCCGGGGCCCGGGGGACGAGCTCCCAGCCCTGCTGTGCCCCGAGCCCCGGCTGGTGCCACAGGCTCCCAAGAGCTGGTTCAAGGACATCATGCACCTGGTGAGCTCCCCGAACCCGCGGAGCGTGGAGGAGTACTGCGCCCGCCTCTGGTGCAGCAGCCGCCCCCAGCACCGCAAGAGCAAGCTGGCCCAGGCCAAGCTGGTCCTGGCTGGCGTGGACGTGGCCAAGAAGGGACGGACAGGCAAAGCCCACAGCGAGAGGAACCGCGTGCCCCGGCGCGCACCGGCCACTTAGGGAGGGCAGGGGACGGATGTGGGGCAGCCGTGGGCAGGGACCAGCTCCCTGTGCTGCTGCTGCTGGGGCCTCTTCACCTGCTGCTGGGTGGCTTGCAGTGCTGCCTGCCTGGTCCCCCTGGATGGGCAGGTCCCTGTCACCCTCAGGGGCTGCAGGGTCACCTCACAAACAGGCAGTGAGGTAGGACACGTTGGCCCCCCTTGCTCTTGCAGGTCATGCAGCAGGTGGGGGCCGTGGTGCCTGGGTGGGCTGGGGCACAGTGGCACAGTGCCACCCAGGCCATGCTGTCACCCAGGTGTTGCCTGGGTCCCTCTGTGAATATTGGGGCCATGTGTGGTGCCATGGGGAGCGGCTGATGGCTCCAGGCTCTTTCCACACCAGCACAGAGCCTGGGGAAGATGATGCCTGCTCATCTGTATGGGGGAAAGCCAGCATCATCCCAAAAAGCCTCTGTGTGCAGGAGGAGCTCTGTCACCTGCTGTGCCTGGAGAGCCAGAGCTGTGCTGTGCCACCCAGGGTGTGTCCTGAAGGACAGGGCTCCTGCCTACCCTCCCTTGGCACTGGGACACGCTCAGCAGTGCCAGCTGTTCCTGGGTGCAGCTCCCCACTACCCCTCTCACAGTTTTAGGGCTGGACAGGGCTGGGGACAAAAGCAAACGGCTGTGGGCAGGTTAGACCTGTTCCTGGGTAAACACTGGGAGAGGCACTAATGCCACCACTGTCACTGTGCCCAGGTGGGAGCAGGGACAGGCAGAGGGCAGCCCCAGCAGAGTTTGGGGGGCTGCAGCACACCGGGGGTGGTTTCTGCTGGTGGGTGGCCCTGCAGGGCTGGTTTGGGTGGGCTCCTGCTGCCTGGCAGACCTAAAGCAGCACCCAGGGCCTCCCCCAAACGCAGGGGTTGGGGGTAGGAGCATGGAGGGCACCTCCAGGCTGCCAGCAAGGTGTTCCTTGCTTTCCTCAGCCGGCATGAGCTCACTCAGTGAGCCCGGGGTGATAAAGATCGGCCCCTTCCTGAGGCAGGGCAGCCCCACACAATGGTGTGAACCGCAGCCCCGCCGGGACCGGCATTGTTCAGAGCTGCAGGAACGGGAAAGAAAAATAATAATAATAATAATAATAATAATTAAAAGGCCCTAAATAGATAGCTCACACAAAGCCAGGTCGTGATATCATCTCTCCTCCCCGTGTGTGTTTGTGCTGCAGCAGCGGCTCCCTGGGAGCACTGCCCCATCCCAGAGACGGACTGGGGGTTCTGCCCTCTTTTCCTCCCTGTCCCACCTGTCCTGCAACCTCCTGGGATGGGAGAGCTGTGGTGGGGCTGGCAGGCTGGGACATTTCTGCAGGGAGGGGAGCGGCGCGAGTGATGCTGATTTATGGAGCCAAGCACGTGGATCTGGATAATTGCAGGCCTGGGGGGCACAGTGAACAGCAGCCAGCAAGCAGAGACAGGGAGGGACGGGGTGAAAAGCCTGGAATGAGACAGCAGTGTGATTCCCCAGGGCCTGGATAGCAGAGCTCTGCACTGCCTGCACTGACCCGTGCACCCCTGTGCCCCACGGAGCAGGGCTGGGCTGCCCACGCTGGGGGAGGCAGCAGGAGGGGTCCTGAGGGCTCTGCTGCCTTTGGGACCTGGCCTGAGGTGAGCTGTGACAGGCTGGAGGTGGCACCAGGGCCAGCAATGCCTCAAACTGAGCAGGAACAGACACCAGGAGCAAACAGTCCCTAAATATTCCCTCCTTTTGAGGGTGCTTTGTCCCTGCTCCCAGTAAATCTCTGGAGTGGCTGAGCCTGGTGCTCCAGGGTGCATTTACCACTGAGGCTGGAGCAGGAGAGATTTTTTCAGGTCAGCATTCTGCAGCCTTGTCTCTGGTGATCACCAGCCACCTGAGGCAACCTGTGACCCTAGGAATGGCCAGGGAGGGGCTGAGCAGCCATGAGCACACCCACATGCACCTGGGGCTGGGAGGAGGCAGCACCCCAGGCAGAACAAGCACCCCGGGCACCCCGGTTTCTGCAGGGGGAGCAGTCCGACCTGGGCCTGGCACTGTCCCGGGGCAGGGTGGGGTGAGGGGATCCTTGGGGCCGGGCAGGCGTGGGAACGGCCCCAGAACAAAGCCGCTCCTATTTTTATCCCGCTTCCCAAGGAAGTGCTGGCAGCCTGCCGGCCTCCCAGGCAGCCACGGTGGGGCTGCTGGCCAGGCCAGGGCTCACACCTTCAGCACACAATCACAGCACCCACTGGGCTGGAACAGACCCCTGAGTCCAACCTGTGACCCAACACTGTTGTGTCACCAGACCATGGCAGAGTGCCACAGCCAGCCTTGCCTTGAACACTCGCAGGGACAGTGACCCCACACCTCCCTGAGCAGCTTGTTCCAAGGTCTGATCACCTGTGCTGTGAATAAATTCTCCCTGATGTCCAACACCTCCCCTGGTGCAGCTGAAGACTGTGTCCCTCTCATCCTTCTTTAGCTGCTCGGGAGGAGAGGCTGGGCAGTGCAGCCCTCATCAACAGGGCAGCCCTGGCTGCTGAGTCTGAGCCCCATCATCATCATCATCAGAGGCTGGGCAGTGCAGCCCTCATCAACAGGGCAGCCCTGGCTGCTGAGTCTGAGCCCCATCATCATCATCATCAGAGGCTGGGCAGTGCAGCCCCTCACCAACAGGGCAACTCAGGCTGCTGAGCCTGAGTGAGCCCCATCATCATCATCATCACCATCCCCAAAAAACCTCACAGACAAACAAAGCAACACCACAGCCCCAGCAGGCAGATGCACCCACATTATTATTCTTGCTATTTCTTTCTGCCCAACATGTAAATTTTCAGAGCCCCTGTTATGAGCACGGGGCACGGGCTCCATCCTGCAGCCCTGCAGGTTGCTGTTCTGGGGGAGGCCTGTCCCCCAGCAGTGCTCTGGGGTGTCACAGGGAGCAGAGGGTCCCTGAGGCACAGGGCAGAACTGAACAAGTATTGAGTAACACAGTGTCTGGGGAACTGCAGTCATAAAGGTGATGAGCAAGTGCCAATAGCTGAACTCCCCAGACAATAAAGGGAAGTAGCAGCACACAGCGAGGAAAGGGAGAGAAGAGAGGCTGGAAATCAGTCACCAGAAACACAGAGAGGTGTGACAAACCCTACTGCTTTAGGGGCAATAAGCTCCAGACATCCATCCTTCCTGCACACCCTGCACCAGGAAGAACGTGTAAAACACATTCACTGTGCTATGAAAAACACATTCACTGTCCTGTAAAACTTTAAACAGTTAATAAAGGACAATAGGAGACAAAGCCCATAAAGTAAAGATTGTTATGGCCGGGTGTGTCTCAGCCAAGAGCACACCTGCTATTTGGAAACACTCTTTAGGTACCATTTCTATAGCATCAGACTGTTACATATCCATAAACAATTATGCATACTAAACGTTTCCCCAAACTATTTTACACATTCCAGGAACTGTTTAGCATGGCTTCTCCTTGGTTCCACCCTTCTAGAGCACGTGTGTTCCTTGGCTGTGGGTTTAATCCATTTTATCACCACCTGCAGGTTTGGGCCCCAGTGCCTTCAGACAGTGAGTGCTGATGGCTGCACACCTGTACAGGTGTCCTCATCCTGTGTCCATGGGATGTTATCCCATCCCAGCAGGGAGTGTAACACAGGCACACACACATCAGCTATTTCACCAAGCTCAATTACCAACAGAAATACAAACTGTATCTTTACAACAAAGTTGCTTTAACACCACACATGTAAATCCATTTTAATATTCACGAAAACCTAACGTTACAGTATGGATGGGTAAGCTCCGGGGCCTCCTCCTGCTCAGAGCAGATTTCCAGGGAACACCGGGCCATTCCCAGGCTCTGCCTCAGAGTAGTTTCCCAGGCCATTCCGGGACAATTCCCAGGCCATTCCCGGGCCATTCCTGGCCAATCCCGGGCTCCTGTTCTGAGCAGTTTTCCAGGCCATGCCGGACCAATCCCGGGTCATTCTCAGGCCATTCCCTGGCTCTCCTTCAGAGCAGTTCCCCAGGCCATTCCCGGGCTCTCCCTCAGAGCAGTTTCTCGGGCCATTCCCGGCCCATTCCCAGGCATTCCCGCCTCATTCCTGGCCCATTCTCAGGCAATCCCGGGCCATTCCCGGGTAATCCCGGGCCATTCCCGGACCATTCCCAGGCAATCCCGGGCCATTCCCGGCCCATTCCCAGGCATTCCCGGCTCATTCCTGGCCCATTCTCAGGCAATCCCGGGCTATTCCCGGGCCATTCTCAGGCAATCCCGGACCATTCCCAGGCAATCCCGGGCCATTACCGGGCCCGCCCGCCCCCGCCCGCCCCCGCCCCTCCGCCCCAACATGGCGGCGTGTCGCGGCCGGGTGACATCACCGCGTGGGATGACGCAGAGCGGGCAGCGCCGGCGGGGCCCGCAGTGGGGGCCGGACATGGCGGCGCGGCCCGGCCCGCGGGAAGATGAATAAGGGCTGGCTGGAGCTGGAGAGCGACCCCGGTGAGCCGGGACACGGCACCGCGCAGCGGGCGCGGCCGGGGACGGGCCGAGGCACAGCTCCGGGCGGCCAAGGGGCTCTGAGGGACACGCGGGCGGCGGGGCCTGGCTGGGGGGGACGTGGCGGACAGGCCAGGGAGGCTGCAGGGGCGGGCTGGGGATGTGGGAGCACGGGTGGGGTGTAGAGATGGGATTTGGGGTGCACGGGGGGAGTTTTGGGGGGCTGGGGATGAGCTGGTAAAGTTTGGGGGGGCTGTGGGGATGGAGTGTGCTGGTGAAGTTCTGGGGGCTGGGGCTGCGGGAGCACCGGTGGGGCTGGGGCGGTGCGGGAGCACAAGTCAGGGCTGTCCCCTTCCCGCTGCCCTGCGGTGGGTGCTGTGGCAGAGTGATGGAGTTGTTTCAGGGTTGGGATTTAGGGCTAAAGCTGGTGTTGTCTGAAATGTTGTTTCAACCCTCTGGGTCGCTGTAGTGTGGAATGGGGCTGTCCTGTGATCTCTGGGATGGGGTGGTGAGGTTTGGGGGCTGTGGGTGAGGAAATGTCATCTCTGGAATTGTCCTTGTCTCTTGCACTCAGCAAAGGATTCTGTCTGGTGTTGGTGTCCCAGTCATCCCCAGTTTTGCTGCCCTTTATTCTCTTTACTGGTACTTAGAAAAGGCTGAAATCATTCCCCTCCTGGCCTTCATCATGGCAGAAAGTCCCAGGACATGGTTTGGATTCCCACAGCTGGGAGGGAAGGTTATTTGCTTGGGGGATAATATCTGGGCAGAGGCAGGGTTTTTTGGCTATGTGGCAGTTTGGATGCAGGGGTGGCAGCTGGGACAGAAGTTAGGAGTGACCCATGTGCTGCTCTCTGCTTCCTGCACATCCCAGTAGCTGAGTCTCTCCCCACTGGCTCTGCTTAGGGCTTAGGGTGGAATCTGTGGGTGCTTTACTGGTCAGGAAGGGTCGCTGGATCCAGGTTTGGGTGGGGAGGAGAGCCCTGGGGACATGCAGGCTGCTGGCATAGTGTTGTGTGAGCTTGTGGACACCAGGATGTGTCCAGCCAAGCCCTATGATGTGGTGTGGGTGTTGGAGTGTTCCAGGAGAGCTGTCAGCAGCAGGGCTGTGCCTCTTGTGGGTGCTGAGGTAAAATGAAATGCTGAAATATGCCAGAGAAAACAGTGGGGCTGGAAGGGACCAGGAAGGTGATGGGGGGTGGTGTAATGGCCTGGCCTCCCACTGGTTTGAAGCATGTTATTTCCGCAGCATATTGCTTCTCACTGATCATTCTGTAAGAAATACAATGTTTTCTGCTCAATTAATGAAGACTTTTTGCTCCCAAGAGTTTCCTCCCTGTTTTAATCATTTCAACTTTGGTGTGGAAGCCCCTTGGGCTCTTCTTAATTGAGTCACATACATCAGGGTCCTTAAATCCATTGCTTACAGGGATGTTTCTCTGGATTTAATCCTTCTTATTGGTATTCCCTGGACTTCCTCCCAGGCTTTCAGCAGCCTTTCTAAGGGAGCTAAGAAAGCAGATTTGTTATTCCTGTCTCGAACTCGCTTCCTCCACAGGCAGAGTGACTGCCTGAGAATAGGGCTGACTGCCTTTGCTCCAGCATCAGAGTGGCAGCTGCTGCTCAGATATCTGATAATCCTTGTTTTCTTGTGGTTGTCTCTGTGCCCCTGGTTATATCCTCCTGAATTTTGTAGCCATTGGAGACAGGCTGTTGGATTTGGTTCCCTCAAAGAGACAGAGAGATGAAGATGAGCTTCTTTCAGCCCTTGGACTTCCCTGCAGCCCTGTTGCTGTGATCTGGATTTCTCCTCAATGATTTTCACTAACATGAACCAAAATTATATTTTTTAAAGTATCTAGTGATATCTTCAGTCATTTATCTCTCTGGTTACAGGTGTGTGTGTGTCATTTAGGTGCTCCCTGCTGTACTGCTCACTTGGCAGGCCAGCTGCAGTGGGCTCTGGCAGGGAAGAGTTGGTTCAGGTTCCCTTGAGGAAGAGGATGGTCAGTGGGGATGGAGGGATGAAGGTTGATGGAGCACTCTGAGGTCAGCATCCCCAGTTCTGGCACTGGGTGTGATTCTGGTGCCTCTGCTGTGGAATCTCTGGCTGTGCCTTGGCCTGGGACCATGTGGGACTCTCAGGGGATGATGACACTGGATTTCCTCTCTGCTCTCTTCAGCCAGAAGTAACCTGTTGGTTTTGTTCCTTTCAGGTCTTTTCACACTCCTGGTTGAAGATTTTGGTAAGTTCTAGGAACCTTTCTGAGGAGTTGGTTTTGTGCCTGACATTACCCTGTCCTTTTTGGTAGCCCTTACACCAGCCTCTCTCCTTTGTCTGCAGGGGTCAAGGGAGTGCAGGTAGAGGAGATTTATGATCTGCAGAGCAAATGCCAAGGGTGAGTCAGAGAGTGTGAGTTGTGCTGAGCAGAGTGGTCTGTGGGCCTGGGAACTCATGGCCATGTGTCCAGAGGGGCTGTGTGAGCTTGTCTGGCACGGAGATCAGAGCTGTGAGTGATGGACCAGGAGGGCTTCCTCAGGTTTGGGGCAGCTGGGGGACATCCTCCAAGGGGTTCAACTCCCTGTCACCATGGAGAGGTGGTGTGGTTGCAGTGTGGGCTTTCTCCCTGTCCTGGTGCTGTGAAAAGGCTTTGAGGCTGTCACTTCTTAAAAGCCATTGCTAAATTCCTCTCAGAAATGAATCCAAGGTAAGTGTAAAAGGAGGGTCATTCAGTGGCCAGAGGGGATTTTCCCATTTCTTTGTCTTCAGCCTCTTAAGACTTGTCAATCCCCAAAGTGTTCAAGCTTGATTGTAGGCTGAGCCTGGAGCATCAGTACAGGAGTGTCCTCAGCAGTGTCGGGCTGGGGGATTGTGGCAGGGAGGGTCACTGCCAGAAGGATGGCACTGGTGCTGTGAATCAGAGGTTTCTGATGCTGTGCAGAGCAGCCCAGTGGTGTGGCTAGTGCAGAGCTCTGCTGTTTTCTCTGTGCAGCCCCGTGTATGGGTTCATCTTCCTGTTCAAGTGGATTGAGGAGCGCCGCTCGCGCCGCAAGGTCTCCACGCTGGTGGACGAGACGTCGGTGATTGACGATGACATCGTCAATAACATGTTCTTTGCTCACCAGGTAGGCTCCAGTCTGGGGGAAGGTGTGTGTGGGGTGTCTCCTCTGGCACCTCAGGGAAGCACTGTGGGACTGACAGGCTGCACTGGTCATGAGGACAGCTCCTCTTCCCTGAGCTCCACATTAGAGGGAATCCAGTGAGAGCTGGGAGGCTGTGGCCTGCACTGTGAGCAGATGCTCATGGGGCATGGTGAGGCTCACTCAGTGATACTGATTTCCCTCCTTCCTATGAGAGCTGAGGTCAGGTCGCTGCTCTCACAAGTGCTGATGGTTCTTGCATCAGTGCTTTCAGTTGGTTACTGTCAACACAGGGGTTGTTGAAAGGCTGCCTTGTTCCTGCTGGTTAAGTTGGTTTTTGTGTTACTCTCTAGCTGATTCCCAATTCCTGTGCCACCCATGCCCTGCTGAGCGTCCTCCTGAACTGCAACAATGTTGACCTGGGCCCCACGTTGAGCCGCATGAAGGATTTCACCAAAGGCTTTAGCCCTGAGGTAGGGGCAGGGTCGGGCAGGGCTGTGCAGGGGTGGCACAGGTGGCTCTGCCTCTTGCTCCCATCTTAGGGTGATGCTCTTCATGAGCTGGCTCCTTCCCTGCCTCTGTGGCTGCACACTGCAGCAGGACTGCCTCTTCTCTCTCATATTCCTGCCTTGCCTTGCTCAGAGCCTTGGTCCCTTTAGGCTGGGCACAGCTCTGAGCCTTCTGTCATTTACTCCCTGTCATCAAAAGTCCTCCTCCCTTCAGACCTATTGTGAACTTTGTTTTTCTCCAGCTGTAATTTATTCAGTAGAAATTGTGTGCTTTTTCCATCTTGGACTTTACCTGTAACTCAGAAGGGTAGAGGATGTGCCTGAGGGTTTCTGTCCTGCTCCTGTGGGTAGATGGAGGGAGGGAGTGGGAAGGTGAAGCATTTTATTTGTTCCCTGTCACTTCTCAGCTGTTCTCTCTTGCTGTTGGCTGCAGAGCAAAGGCTATGCCATCGGCAACGCCCCGGAGCTGGCCAAGGCCCACAACAGCCATGCCAGGTGAGTGAGGGGCCTGCAGCTGCCCCCATCTGGAGGAGGCAGGCTCTCCATGGCCCCTGTCCCTCACAGGCCAGAGCCACGGCACCTGCCGGAGAAGCAGAACGGGATCAGCGCCGTGCGGACCATGGAGGCGTTTCACTTTGTCAGCTACGTGCCCATCAAGGGACGCCTCTTTGAGCTCGATGGGCTGAAGGTCTATCCCATTGACCACGGTAAGAGCCACCTGTCCCTGCCTGCTGACACAGGTGAATAGCACCCTGGGGTGTCCAAATGTATTGTTTTTCATTTCTTAGTGTTATCTGGTGTTGGTGGAGCATCACTCCAATGGCTCCCAGATTTGTCCTGAGTTTTGACAGCTAATTTTGGAGCCTGTGGGTTCTAGGCTGGGAACTGTGCCTAGAAAGTTATTTCTAAACGCACTGCTTTTGTTTTTCCATTTTCCTCCCAGTTGCTCAGGGCCATAAGGTCCTTCAGCTTTGAAATAACTTCATATAGCAAGGAGAATTTATCTCCTTGTGCCAAATAACCACTACGTGTTGAGACAGCTGGTCTAAACAGATCCCACTGGGCTGCCCAGTTACTCCCTTCTCTGACAACTTGACCCCTCAGTTCTGTCATCCAGGCAGTTATTTATCCCTGCCAGGTTTCTGTCTGTCAGTCCCTTGGTAAGGTACCCATGTCCTGTACCTGGTTTACTTCAGCATGGCCTGCTTTGCTAAGTGCAGCTGTGTGTTCTTCTCACAGGGCCGTGGGCAGATGACGAGGAATGGACGGACAAAGCCAGGAGAGTGATCATGGAGCGCATTGGCCTGGCCACTGCAGGGTAATGTCCTGGCCCATGGGCCAAGCACTGGCCCCTTGCCATATTCCCCTGGATTATTTGTCCTGTGGTTTCTGAATGGCAGCTTGTGGAAGTGGAGGTCGCCTATGGAGAGGTGCAGGTGCTCTGCCTCTTGCCTGTACAGCATGCATTCCCTGTGGGATGCAGAATCCCTACAAATGCTGCACAGCCTTAGGAGTGGCCTGGTTAGGTCTGTGTTAGCTCTAATCCATAGGAGAAGGAGTGGTGCTTCTGGTCTTGAGCTGGGCCTCTTGGATGCTTGGGCATGAGGGTGACTGCCACAGGTTGCCTAAAGATGGAATCTCCATCTTTGGAGCTATTCAGTAGCTGTCTGGATGTTGTCCTGTGACCAGCTCTGGGTGGTCCTGCTGGAGCAGAGACTGGAGCAGATGAGTCTCATAGGTCTCTTCCTACCTCAGCTAACCTGTGACTCTGAGAGTGTTTTGTGTGGTAGCTGAAGAAACCTTGTACTGCTTCATTGGCCACTGTGAGGTTGACCTGGTTTTGGGAGAAGCCATGGGTGTGTTAGTGTTCAGTGCCTGGGCAGGAGGTGGGATGGGGCTGTCACCATGATCCTGTGGCTGAGGGCTCTGCCCTTCCTGCAGGGAGCCGTACCACGACATCCGCTTCAACCTGATGGCCGTGGTGCCTGACCGCAGGATGAAGTACGAGTCCAAGCTGCACATCCTGAAGATGAACCGCCAGACCGTGCTGGAGGCCTTGCAGCAGGTAGGGCAGCCCAGCCTGAGGGAGGGCAAGGCCTGGGCACTTGGTGTTGGCTCACCCCCATGAGCTCTGCAGTGCTTGAGTGGGAAGGATGTGGTTTGGGTCATTGCTGGTCCAGCATGCAGCTTCTCTGTCATTTGCTTTACAGCTTATCCGAGTAACTCAGCCTGAGCTGATCCAGACCCAGAAGTCTCAGGAGTCTCAGCCTGGTGAAGAGGCAAAGCCAGCCAGCAGCAAGATTGTGACTCCAGAGAGCACTCATCCAGGTAGGGCCTTGTACCAGCAGTGCTGCCAGCCTGGCCTGCTTGGGTGAGCACAGGATGATGACAACAGCTGGCTGACCTGGAGCTTGGGGCAGTTTTATTGTCAGCTTCACTTTCTTTTCTGTGAGCCCTGCTCTATGTGCACTGTGCTGGGTATGGTGATGCCTGTGTGTCTGGGGGTTTGTTGGAGGGTTTGAAGCTTGAAAGTGGGAGGGCTGGAGTTTGGGGACACCGGTGACAGATGGAGGTGCAGTCTGGGAGAGTGTTAGAGCTCTTCTCTCACCTGGGTAAAGGGTGGTAGAGAACATGGAGTAAAAGATGACAGTGCTGGTGATGAAAGGCTGTGCTGTGCTTGTGTGGCAGATGGCACTGATGAAGCCACCAGCCAGGGCCACCCCACAGCCACGCAGAGCCCACCCAGCAAATCCAAACCGGTGCCAAAGACAGCAGCGAGCAGCATCAATGGGGCCCCTCCAGCAAACCCCAACCCCATTGTGCAGAGACTGCCAGCCTTCCTGGATAACCACAACTATGCCAAGTCCCCCATGCAGGTAGGCTTGAGCACCAGGCTGGCAGCACAGCTGATTCAAACTGAGCTCTTTGCCTGCACTCCCTCCCCTCTCTGGGACCACAGCTGTCAGCTGGCCTAAGCCTGGCCCAGCACTAACCCAGGCTGGAAGGGGAGAGGGTAAATAAAGACTGACCTGACAAAGGAGATTTACCTTAATGTGGGTAAACTGAACAAAAATGGGGAGGGGTCTCTGTTTCCTCTCTAAAGAGCCAAGTCCTGGTGTTGGGCTGGACCAAGGACAAGTCCACTGGGTTCTTCCTCGGTGCCCTGCTGCCAGCAGGCCTTCAGCAGTGGTGTGTTGCAGGAGGAGGAAGACCTTGCAGCAGGAGTGGGTCGCAACCGGGTGCCAGTCCGACAGCACCAGCAGTACTCGGATGATGAGGATGACTATGATGATGATGATGAGGAGGAAGTTCGTAACACTAACTCAGCCATCAGGTGACAGCTTGAGCTGTGGGTGGGGGGCTGGGAGCCGACATTTGCAGACCTGTCAACAAGGACTTCCCTAACCTCCTTCCTTAGATCTTGATCATTCCATTCTTCTCTTCACCTGCCATTTTACTTTTCATTCACTGGGTTTTTTAAAGTCCTTCTGTAGCTCTTTACAGCCAAGTCGCAATTTCAGCTTCCTGAGAATAACTGTGTACTGGCAGCAGGCTTTGGGGCTTTGAGGAACTTTGGTTCCACAGTGCTGATTGCCACTTCAGCTCCTGGTGACAGTGTTGGTGTGCTTGGACTGCTGCTGAGGTCAGGAAATTGGGGTCACAGCAAGGGAGCACTGGGGGCTTTGGAAGAAGAGCGGGGGGTACACAGCACCCTGTGACCCCAGCAGTGTAGGGATCCCTGGGGCTGAGTGGCTCAGTGGTGCTGAGGTGGTGCAAGAGAAGCTGGTGGCACTGGGAGTGATGTTTCAGACCTTGTTTCATCCCAGCAGGCAGCCTAGACTGCTGAGCACAGAGCTGGCAGTGTCCATGGTGGGCATCACTTCTTTCCACCAGCTACTCACCTCCCCTGCTGTGTTTCTGGGCAGGTACAAGAGGAAAGGGCAAGTGAAGCAAGAGCACGTGGCAGGGGCCGCAGATGGCCAGCTCTCCGTGCTGCAGCCCAACACCATCAACGTCCTGGCTGAGAAGCTGAAGGAGTCTCAGAAGGACCTTTCCATCCCCCTGTCCATCAAGACGAGCGGCGGCGGCGCCGCCGTGGCCGTGGTCACGCACTCCCAGCCGTCCCCCACGCCCAGCAACGAGAGCACAGACACGGCCTCCGAGATCGGCAGCGCCTTCAACTCGCCGCTGCGCTCGCCCATCCGCTCGGCCAACCCCACGCGCCCCTCCAGCCCCGTCACCTCGCACATCTCCAAGGTGCTGTTCGGCGAGGAGGACGGGCTGCTGCGCCTCGACTGCCTGCGCTACAACCGCGCCGTCAGGGACCTGGGGCCCATCGTCAGCTCCGGCCTGCTGCACCTCACCGAGGACGGCGTCTTCTGCCCGCTGGCTGCTGCAGGTACCTGCCTGCTGTAGGGGTGGTGTCCTGCCTGAGGTGACAGGACAGTGTCCTTTGACTTCAGCGGGGATGCCAGTCCTTTGTGGTGGCTCCTAACGCTTCCTTCCCCTGTGTGTAGATGGGAAAAACTCCCCCTCTTCCATCAAGCCCGGTGAAGAGGCCCCGGTTGCGATCAAACTGGAGGAGAAGGAGGGCAGTGAGGCCAGTGACAGCAAAGAGAAGGTGGGACTTGGCAGGACCAGTGATCACCCTGGGGGGGAAAAGTATTCTCCCAAGGTGAGTTTTGTGCTGCGACAGCCCTGGGAACGTGGAGCTCACCCGGAGGCGCAGCAGCGCTGGCAGTGGCTGAACTGCATGTGCACGGTGTCCCCTCGCGTGTCGTCGCAGCCGTGCCTCGAGGCACAGGGCAGTGCAGGTTTTGTGCCTTGCGTCATCTTGGGGACCTTTGCCTTGGTAGTGGGCACAGACCCTGTCTCTGCAGCTGAGATGTGCAGCTTGCTGTGCTCTCTTCTGGGCCAGGAGCTCGTGAGACCCTGCACCCCAAGCCCCAGCCTGCTGGTAACTCACAGCCTGTCTGTGCCCTCCAGCTAGGGGCACTACAAGGCTGAGGCAGCACAAGGGCACCAAGGGTTGCCTGGAGGAGAGCTGGGTACAAACTCCTATTCCAAAGGGAAGTCTTCAGATTTTATTTTTGAAGGGAAGCAGCCTGGGGTTGGAGGGTGGGGGGTGGATTCTGGGACACAGGCAGCCCTTTTCCTGTCCCAAAACCCTGGGGCTGGGGCAGAACTCATCTCCCCTGGGGTTAGCCATAGTGAATTCCCTACAATGAACTGATCTCCTAATTTTCCCCATGCGAGTGTTTTTCCTTTGATGAATCATCCCTCTCCTAACAGAGAGAGGAGCACCTGCCAGCTCACCCTGCTGGCTCCTGGGCTGTGGCTGGGTCTGTGCTCATGTTTGGTCTGCTTGATCCTGCAGGAGCTGCTGGCACTGCTCAAGTGTGTGGAAGCAGAGATTGCAAACTACGAGGCCTGCCTGAAGGAGGAGGTAGAGAAGAGGAAGAAATTCAAGGTGTGCTGCTGGCTTGTTTGCGCTGCTGATTTAGCTGCCCAAAGGCTTTTGTCTGGGGTGGTTTTATGTAAAAATGGAGGGAGAGTGGTTCAGCTGAGAATGGTGATGAGGAATATTCAGTCTTGTCCCTGTTACCAAACAGCCCAGCAGGGCAGAGCTGTTACCAGGACAGACCACAGCCCTGGGCCAGCACTGGCAGCCTGCGGGAGGGTGATACAGTGCTGGGATGAACATCAGCACTGATAGGAGGCAGGGGAGAGTCAGCAGAGATACCTCCCCTGCCCACCTTCACCTCTTCCCAGCTGGTCGTTGTGGAACATGCTGGCATCTGAACTGGGATGGAGACAGTCCCAGTTGTGCACTGGCCTAAGATAGGCTAGGAGATGGGGCCCTTCCTGCTTCAGGCTCCCTAGTCTGTGGGCTGGGCCAGGCATGCCAGTTCTTTGTCCCCTGTTAACCTGAACTCTCCCTTCTCCCTTACCCCTGCTTGTGGATTATTTGTGGATTTGTCTCTTTGTAGATCGATGATCAGAGGAGAACCCACAACTATGACGAGTTCATCTGTACCTTCATATCCATGCTGGCCCAGGAAGGTGAGCTGAGTTCATGGGGCAGAGGGTTTGGGGCACTGAGCGTGATGGAGCAGCAGCTGGGAGCTGGGCTGCTCACCTTGCTTGGCTTCCTACTCAGGCCAGACCTGGGGCACAGGCTGACGCTCCACCTGGGGAGCCACAGATTTCTGCTTTCTCCTTCCACTTCATAGTCCCAAGAGCTGCCCAGTGCTGGCTTTTGAGCGAGAGAGGCAGGGCTGCCCTGTGGGATGGGTGATCCCAGCCCTCCAGGCCGTGTGTGTGCTCTCCCTGCAGGCATGCTGGCCAGCCTGGTGGAGCAGAACATCTCGGTGCGCCGGCGGCAGGGAGTCAGCATCGGCCGCCTGCACAAGCAGAGGAAGCCGGACCGCCGGAAACGCTCCCGCCCCTATAAGGCCAAGCGCCAGTAGCCAGCCCTGGCAAACAGCAGCTGGGCTTTGTGGCTTTGGGCACTGGCACTTGCATCTATGTTACCTTTTGCCCAAGGAAAGGGACCACAGTGACAAGCCCTCTGCCCAGGTGGAGCCTGGGGACAAAGGGAAATCGGGTTTTTCTCTGCGCCTGAGCTGTGAAAGGCAAGAACCTGTCTGGAGGAGTCCCTGCAGCCAAAGGGAGTCTGGAGTGCTCGGCTGCCTGACCGCACCATGGCAGCAGCCAGACCTTGTCACCTCTGTCTCAGCGCCCTGGCTGAGGACTGTGACCGGAGGGAAAGAGCCCACCCAGCTGGGGATGGGTCTGGCCTTGTGGGAACACTGGCAATGCCCATGTGAGGCTGTGCTGGCCACAGCTGGCTGTGGCTTGTGTCCTCCAGTGTCTGGGCCTTCAGCTCTGTGCTTCCCTGGGATGTTCATGTTTTCATGATGTTCATGTTTTTTATCCCTCTCCCTCCTTTCCCCAAACTGATTTTTGGTCCTAACCCAGACTCTGGCCATTCTTAGCAAGGTGGCTCCAGGACAGAGCTGCTTCTGCACCCACCCCACTGCACTGCCCAGGGCTGGATGGTGACACCTTCGCCATGTAGCCTGGCTCCCCAGAGGACCATAGCAGCTCTGTTGCTGGATGAGGGTGGGTAGGCTCATCTCTGGAGCTGGGCCTTGTCCCCAGCCCTCTGTAGCAGTGCTGGGAGTGGCCTGTGCCTCTTGCTGCCCTGGCTGCTCTCCTTGGGACCAGCTCTGTGGCCCTGGCAATGCCTGTGGGTCACACAGCATTGCAGCAGGCCCCAGAGAAAGCCCGTGAATTGTGAACAGACCGGGTGCAGATGGTGGCCTTGGGGGTGCTGGACATGGCACGAGGTGGACTCTGGCTGTGGCTTGGTAAAGCCTCTTGGCAGGGTTGCTGCAATGGTGGAGGCGGGATGGGGGCAGCAGCAGAGGGAGCCCACATCTCTTCCTCCTGGCTGGCTGCTAACCAGAACTTGCTGGTACAGCCTGGCTGCCTCCTGCCAGCCCCCAGGAGCCTGGCAGAAATCTGAGATACCAGAGGTGAGCCCTGCTCCCCAGCACTGTCCTGGGGTGGAGCTGCCACAGGAGAGGACTGAATTTTTTTCAATATGTGTGCAGATCTTGACTATGAAATAGTTCTTTTGGTATTTGTTGAAGGAAAGAAAATCCTTCTGTCTCTTGCTGTGTCTAATATCAAGTGCTGTAAATAATGGATCTGTCTGAAGGAATAAAGCTATCCTGTAATGGCCAGCCATGGAAGAGGTGTGTGAGGGAAGGGGGTGGGGGGCAGTGGGGCTGGGAGCACGACGTGCCAGCTCCAGGCCCTGTTATCTCTGCTGGCCGCTCTGTTTGGTGTAGAGATTTGAAGTAATCATGGGGAGTGCAACAATACCAGGCTCCATTTATTGACACACCTCAGCAGGGGAGGGGCAGGACTCACCTCAGCAGAAGGAGGGCACGAGGAGAGGGGGCAGCAGCCCGGTTCAGATCCTCAGCTGCAGTGGGTTCCTCGGCTCACTGCATTTTCTGGCTAAAAGTCCAGGGCACAGATCAGGGCCGTGCCCCGTTTGATCCAGTGCTTCTCTGGCTTGTCCGTGGGGATCTCCACAGCAATCACGTAGTTGGTGGAGTGGCCCGTTGTTGACAACGTGCCTGTAATAGGGGAAGCGAGGGTGAGAGGGTGGTGCTGCTGCACACTGACCCCATCCAGAAGCCCTTGTCCCCACCCTAAGCCCGGTGACTGGCTGAGCAGGGCTGGGGCAAATGGGCTTGTGGGCTTGAGGGGAGCCTGGCCACGGGCACTGCTGCACAGCCAGGGTGCCTGCTGCTCCATCTCCCAACCACAGCAGGAGAAATCTTTTCTCCGTGGCTGGCCACTGCCAACAGTGCCGTCTCTATGCCCATGTATGGCAGGAGGAACTCCCTGCTGCCCCTCCTAGCCGCTCCTGCAGCTCCCCTGCTTCTGCAAGTCTGCCTTTAGGGCACCTACCTGCGCGAGTGAGAGTCTTATAGATGGGGCACAGGTAGGAGCCGGATTCCGGAGGCTTGCGGTTGGCGACAGGCAGCAGCCAGATGACAGCCATGTCCGTGTACAGCTCCTTGGGGCGGGACTCCGCCAGCTTACCCGCGGCCGCGTCCCAGCGGGCGCCCTCCAGGAACAAGCCGTGGATGTAGCAGCCCACCTTGGGCTGCTCCGTCAGCTCCTTCACCGACTCCTTCATGACCTGCCACAGGGAGGGGCCGCCGGGCCCTGGCTCAAGGCGTGTCCCTGGCGGCTCAGCCCCAACAAGCCTCTTAATCAGCTCTTAGTTAAGCCAGCGCTGCGAGAAGAGAGCGTGCCACAGCTCTCAGAGGGACAGCCTGGGACAGGGCTGGTGGAGGGGGATGAGGGCAGGTCTGGAAGCAGAAGCCCCTGCCAGCCTTGGGGAGGTGTCTGGCAATGTGGGTGGGTGGGTGTATCCAAGCACAAAGAGGATGATGGAGCCATAGGCAGCTGGGTAGCCTGGTGGCTTCACCTCTTGGGCAGGTCAGGGCCTTTGTGGCTTTCTAGCAGGAGATTCCAAATAAATTCAGACTCTCCACCTGATTTACTGACCTGGAAGCTAAATGAGATGGTGTCGATGGAGATGACAGACTTCCTGGCAAAGTTCTGCAGTGTCCCGGTGAGGAAGGCTTGGGGGAAGAAGAATCCACTGATCCAGAACACAGAGGGGATCCCATGGCTGATCCAGTTCTGCATGAATTCAATCCGCTGCACCAAGTCGTTCACCCACGATGCCAACGGCTTCAGGGATGGATAGGCCTGTGGGGCACCACAGAGGGAGGTGCTGAATGCAGTCAAGGACAGCCTAGACCTTGTGCCTTAGCTGCTGAGAGCTGCCCAGAGCCCAGGGGCTGGGAACAACTGGAGCTGCACTGGGCAGGAGACACCTCCGTGCCAGGGCACCAAGAGCCAGCTCCATGGGAGACAGCCCAGTCCAGCAGCAGCTGATAATCCATTCCTCTGGTTTGGGTGAGCTCTGGCAGCAATTGGGCTGGCTGGGGCACATACCTTGGAATTCCATATTTCAGGAACAGTGTTGTTGTACAAACTGGTGGCCATCAGCTCCAGCCGAGAGGACATCACCACCAGGCCCTTGAGAGCTTTCAGCAAATCCTTCAGACTTAAGTCAACCTCCTCCAGGAGCTTGTTGTACCTACAGAGAAAGGGCAGAGGGAGCAGAGTGACTCTGTACAGTGGTTTATCACCTATTGCCTGCCCAGAGGGGATGTGGATCTTTATACACAAGTGAAGCTCCTCCATGTAACTGCCAGCCCCAGTCCTCTTCAACAGGGTCTCAGCTGCTCCCCCAGCCCTAGACTGCATACTGTTACAGATGGAGACAGACTCAGCCAAAGGTCCTGGCTAGGGCAACACAGTTGTTACTGTGACTGCCAACCCCACTGTTGTGCTGAGGTTCCCCAAAGGTGGGTGGCAGCGGGGGCCTGCACATCTCTGCTGTTCCCTAGGACATGATGCCACAGGAGTTTTACCTGATCACCTCCTGCACCAGCACTGTGTTCATGGATTCTTCATAGAGCAGTGGGTATTTCTCAATTACTTCCTGCACGTTCATGGTGTCAGGCAGCTTTGCTAGGATGTCCTTGGAGGTCTCCTCCACAATCTGGAAGGAAAGCAGCAAGTGGCAGCATCCTTCTAATCCAGCCCCATGGCTGCTGAGAAGGGGGAGAGCTAATGCTGGCACGGCAGTGCCATCACTGGCACCCAGTAGGCAGGGTGGCACCTGCTGAGAGCTGGTGCTTGCGCTCACTGCCCACACTGGGCACTGGCTGCCAGAGACTGCCAGCACTGGGGCACTCACCTCTTCCCTGCTGCGGCCTCCCAGTGAGATGGTCTTGGGCTGCAGCTGTGCAATGGCCCCCAGCAGTGCAAAGGTCTCGTTCTGAGCGAAGGTGATGTCAGCATTGTCGTGTAAACCAAAGAGCTCTGGGCTGTCGTTGAGAGGCAGGCCCTTGACATATTGGAGGTAGCCCTGGAGAGGAATCCACAAAGAGTCTGAGACCAAGACCAGCTGAAAATCCCTAGGTTCTTACAAACTTGTATTCCCCCAGGGACCTGAAAATGCAGTGGGTTTTGGAGAGGAGAGATCCCCTTTGCATTGTGACAATCCCCTTGGAACTATGAGCTGCAATTTGTGACTTGAATACTTACATTGAGGTCAGAAGAGGTACTGATCTGCTTGTAGACACCTGATTCTGAATAGGCAAAGTCAGGACTTAAAACCTCAGGTTTGTAGAAATCCTCCAAAATGCTCATGATGCAGCGCCGGTCCCAGTCGTCGGTCACGCGGCCGCCGTAGTTGATCTCCCCAGCTGTGTATTTCAGAACCTGCAAGAGACCCCACCGTGGTTCTGATCCATGGTTCTGATCCATGTCTGCATCTTGAGCCTGTTCCCTTGCGGGAGGGGCAGCTCTCACCTTGTATGGAATTTCTGCATATTCGTTCAAGAACATTTGCAGCTGACTGATGCAGATGCGGAGGTCTCCATCTGTGAACTCATAGGGGATATTGAACCCCAGAGGCCCAAACTTTCTCCTCTCCAGCATGTTCCCATGGAAGAAGCAAAGTGACAGCAACAAGGATTTAAACTCCGTGACCTGTGGGAAACAGGGAGAGTTGCTCAGCTTGGGAGGAGACATCCTTGGAGGGAGTTGGGTCCTGCTGGGACCTGGCAGAGCAAATATGCCAATTCAGGAGTGCCAGCTTGAGCTTGGAGAGGGGGAAACCTCAGTCACTGGTGCTGTGCTGGGGAAGGCCATGGCTCACTCCTTGCTTAAAGAGAGCTGCAAGTCCTTATGCCAGGCCTCCAAAATACTGTTGCTTCTGTTTCTCAAAGTAAAACTTTCAGATGTGAGTTTATGAGAAACACCTCCTTTAGCACATGGATTCTCTAATGGGGAGAAAGATCTATGCCTGGAGAGGAGCTTTCCAGGTAGAAAGCATACATTGGAGCAGGCACAGAATGGGGACAGCAAGCCAAAGCACAATCTGGGTCTTACCTTGGAGCAAGAATTCAAGAAGTCATCACTGAAACTAATGTAGGACTTGAGCAGGTTGGCCTTGACCCCCCGGGGGGGCTCAATGGTCATCTTGGAGCCATTCTGGAGAATGGACACAGGGAAGTGGTTGCTAGGCAGACTGGTGAGCCAGAGGCGAAAGTCTGGATGCACCTGGAGGTCCAGAAGGCAGCAAGTGCTCAGAGGGTGCAGGCACAGCCCCTGCAGCTGCTCCTGCACTGACCCTCTGGTGCTGTAAGAGCCTATGGATGGGTCTGAAATAGGGCTGGCCTCCTCCCAGGCTCCAGCCTCCTGCCTGCTATAAAACATCTCACCTTGCTGGGGTCGATGGCCTCGATGAGTCTCTCCAGGGAAGGCATCCAGCTGGGGGCCAGGTGGCAGTTCTGGAAGAAGACCCAGTTGCCCTGCTCCATGGCACTGTGCAACATGGCTTCAGCACGGGGGCCCTGCAGAGGCACAAAGGGAGAGCTCACAG